TGGCCTAGGCGTCCGGCCCGGGCAGCGGGAACGTGCAGTGGCAGCGGGGGGCGCCGCGATCGCGCGGGCTCCGCCCCTGCCCCTGCCCCTGCAGGACGTGTCCGGCCTGGGCAGCGGGGACCCACAGCTGCAGCGGCCTCACGATTGTGGGCTTTGCTTTAGGCCCAGGCAAGGGACCCCTAGCTCCTGAGACTGCCAGCTTCAACCGTGCCCAGCTCCCATTGCTGGCTCCACCCCTACTTCCTGCTATCACTGGCCAGGGCGGAAAAGGCACCTGATTCCGCCTTTGCCCTGCCCCCCAGCTCTTAGCTCCCCCCTGGGTTTCCGATCACTGTCAGTGGCAGGGGGCTTCTTCCTGCTTTCCCTTTCGCCTCCCTGCATTGTGCCTACATATGCAAATTAACAGCCAGCTTGTTGGCAGTTAACTGTCAGTCTTAGATGGCAGTTAACTGGCAATCTTAGTTGGCAGTTAATTTGCATAGCCCTGATTAGCCAATGAAAAGGTAGCGTTGTACGCCAATTATCATTTTTCTCTTTTATTAGTGTAGATCATTGCATTGTATACTTTAAAGGTATTATAACTTTATTTGTCAGTTATACCTCAGTAAAGCTAAATAAAACTAATCCATTCAATTGACAAGAATCTATATCAAATACTTTTAAGCACATCTTTACCATTAGAGAATGATGTTATGTATCCTTTTCCTTTTTCTAAAAATGCACAATAGTTATCACTGTTTAAAAAGCTAAAGTTATTAATAAGGTTCAGAAATCTAATAGTCACATATGCTTCATTTAATTTAACTCATATACAAAGCAGTCAATAAGTTGATGAATTATCTTCTATAATTTAATACACAGTACAGATGAAAGGATATGATTTTGGAAATAAAAGCTCTAATTCTGGCTTATACATCCCTGTTATGTGAGGTAAACTGTGTGTGTTTGCTTTTTTTAAAGTAATATCACTGTATAAGCAAGTCATTCAACATGAATTCAAAACATCCTTCATTCCAGGACCTGCTTGGTATCAGCTCACTTATCTCCTGCCTGTTTCATCCTTCCAGAAACTAGTAACTATCCAAAGAAGAATCTTAAAATACAAACAATGAATTATAGAACTAATTCATGAATCATTTTTCCATGACTCATTTCTTCCTCCAAGATCTTCTATTCACTCTCTGAAGCAGGGAAGATCTCCAGCAATCCTTTCTCATCCTGAGAATTAGTTTAGGAAGTATTTAAATAGAAATAAAATTCAAAGGACTCCAGGGATCAATTGGCAATTTGAAATGCAATATTCCTACAAAATACCTAAAGGCTAAAATAGAGAACCAAAAAGCCTACAAGAAAACTGCCGGTTTAGAAACCCCTGAATTTATAGTCAAGAAACATCCAGCTGAAATACCCAATAACACAACTCTGGAAAATCAGACCTAGGAACGGGTCAAAGTATTTATCAAAAGGAAAGTGCTTA